GTTGCTTTCAACTGAAATTCAACTGGCCTATGCGCAAAAACAGCAAATGGGTTCAGTTTTCTTGGACATTAAGGGGGCTTTTGATTCTGTTTGTATCGATGTCCTTTCGGATAAACTCCACGATAGTGGGCTTTCACCAATTATGAACAACTATTTGAGCAACTTGTTGTCTGAGAAATATATGAGCTTTTCTCATGGAAACTCGACAACTTCACGAATTAGTTACATGGGTCTCCCCCAGGGCTCATGTTTAAGCCCCCTTCTTTATAATTTTTATGTAAAAGACATTGATGGTTGTCTTGATGAAAATTGCTCGCTAAGGCAGCTTGCAGATGACGGTGTTGTGTCCGTTATAGGGCCAAGTGCACCGGACCTGCAAGGACCATTGCAAGATACCTTAGACAATTTGTCTACTTGGGCTATGAAGCTGGGTATCGAATTCTCTCCGGAGAAAACTGAGTTGGTTGTTTTTTCTAGGAAGCATCATCCTGCACAGTTACAGCTTCAACTAAAGGGTAGAACAATCACTCAAAGTATATCTTTCAAGTATTTAGGTGTCTGGTTCGATTCCAAAAGCACATGGGGAAAACATATTGCGTATCTAAAACAAAAATGCCAACAAAGAATCAATTTTCTTCGTACAATTACTGGAACTTGGTGGGGAGCACACCCGGAAGATCTGATCAGGTTGTACCGAACAACCATCTTGTCGGTTCTAGAGTACGGTAGCTTCTGCTTTCAATCCGCGGCGAAAACACATATCCTGAAGCTGCAACGGGTTCAATACCGTTGCCTCCGAATCGCGCTTGGCTGTATGCACTCGACGCATACGATGAGCCTCGAAGTACTCGCGGGTGTTCTCCCACTGACAGATCGTTTCGCGGAACTGTCCTTCCGGTTTCTTATCCGTTGTGAAGTAATAAACCCATTAGTAATAGAAAACTTTGAGAAGCTGCTCGACAGAAATCCTCAAACAAGATTCATGAGTCTCTATTACGAGTACATGACGCTGGAGATTGGCCCTTCTTCATTCAATTCCTCTCGTGTTTGCCTCCAAGACTTTTATAGTTCCTCTGTAAATTTTGATCTGACCATGTTGCAAGAAATCCGTGGAATACCAGATCACGATCGATCGATGGTTGTTCCCTTAATTTTTGCAAACAAGTACCACCATGTTAGTAACAATAAGAGTTTTTTCACAGATGGGTCAACTATAAACGCTTCCACTGGATTTGGAGTATTCAACGAATTTCATACCGCCTCATATCAACTGCAAAAACCCTGTTCCGTATACGTTGCGGAACTAGCAGCCATATTTTACGCAGTAGAGCAAATTGCCTCACTACCATCTGATCACTATTTTATTTTTACTGATAGCCTTAGCTCGTTGGAGGCTATTCGATCAATGAGGCCGATGAAGCACTCCTCGTATTTCCTGACCGAAATCCGAGCAAAATTGAGTACTTTATCTAACTGCTCCTATACTATCACCTTAGCTTGGGTCCCATCTCATTGCTCAATTCCGGGTAATGAGAAAGCGGACTCGCTAGCTAAGGTGGGCGCTATGGAAGGCGATATTTTTGATCGACAAATCGCCTTTGCGGAATTTTTCTCAATTACCCGTCAGCACGTCCTCACCAACTGGCAACAAAAATGGAATGAGAGTGATCTGGGAAGATGGTTACATTCTATTCTCCCACAGGTGTCGAACAAGCCATGGTTCAAAGGATTGGACATGAGCCGTGACTTTATACGTGTCATATCAAGGCTCATGTCCAATCACTACTCGTTAGACTCGCATTTCTTCCGAATCGGGCTCGCAGGCAGCAATTTGTGCGCTTGTGGTAGTGGCTATCACGATATCGACCACGTGCTTTGGTCATGCACCCTACATTGTGTTGCTAGATCCGAGTTATCCGCATCCCTCAGGGCCCGAGGAAAACAACCTATGCGGCCCGTTAGAGACATCTTGGCGAGCCGAGATCTCGAATATTTTAATTTAATTTATGTGTTTTTAAAACGGATCGATCTGAGGATTTAGTAGTTAGTGTCATCTTGTGTTCCCCCAAGTTGTTAGCTGCCCATCGGTGTACCCCCATGTTTGTCTTTTTCGTCAGTTGGTCGCTTAGTTCGAGATAAAAAGCACATTGCTCTCCAAACCTTGTGTTCTCAATCCCTACCCTGCCATCCATTTGTTACAATTTGTTACCCCTAACCTCGAGATAGCCGCGAGTAATCGGCCCCCGCTTTACTAACGTTAGTTTTAAGAAATTTTGTCATCCAAACAATGAATATCGGCTCCGCAAAGCTACGGCAAATGAGCCTGGAAAAATAAACGCATTTAAAAAAAAAAAAAAAAAATCATCACTCTCATAGTTCTTCTATTCTCCACGAGTGCCAACTTTGATTTGCCAATTGGTCCCAAGCAAACGATTAACGTACCCTACACTACTACACTATGTTTGTTTTGATTCGCTATGAAAGTTTGACAGATAAAATGAGGGGTTAGTGGATTTTCCAAAGTTTCGAGGGGTAAATCGATTAGCTTGGGACCGAAGATAGTACCAGCTGAGCCAAAAAGTTTAGGTTGTTTTTTCGGAACCTTCTGGTCTTAGAGTTACCTCTATGCTACTAATGGATTGTACCACATGGCAACACTAAATGTACTAGAATGTTTTGGTTCTATCTCTTTCACTCTACTCTAAATTGAAATGCATAAAAAATGCCAAAATGATACACTCTTTGCACACTGTCAAAGATCATATTGCACACAAAATCAACTATGTTCAAATCAAAACAAAAATACTAGCCCATATAGTGGCTGATGGTACAAGCTTCTAAGAAAATTCTATTACAGCGAACCACATTATTTTAATTGATTTCTTCGCCAGTTAGTCGTCTGTCACTTCGTTTGCGGTTTGCAGGCAATCGGTGATAATTTTGATCACTGTTGCAACAGTTGGACATTTGTCAGTTCGCGTTTGGGTTTCAACGTTAGCAGTTCAGCTCGTGCCGCGTTCTCTGAGTGCATTTTGTCTTCCTTTTGTTTGTGCGTGCTGGCGTTCCGCCTCCCGCACGAATGTTGTCATCGTCATGTTTGTGCGTTGAAGTTGTGTTTCAGAAATACAATCGAAGTGTGCCGTGACCACTATTAGACGCATGGGTTTTCGGTCGCTGGAGTTTTCGGTTCTGATTTCGGCGTTGGTAGCGAGTTGATTCGGCGTGTGTTTCGTGGATGATGGGGTTTGCGCTGCTGTGTGATAACCGAAAGTCGAGAGTGCTGTTTTAACACCGGTTGAAGAAGTAGCGGCAGCATATCTATTGAAGCTCTTCGAAATCATCGTGATGTCATGGATTCCTTTGCAACATATCGGGTGAGATCTTTCCTTTATTTTTCTCGTAATCCCATTTTATTGTTAAGACCCAAACGCAATATGGGCGGAAGCGGAACGGAAACGGAAAGTTTGACAGCTGTCACAAATGACATCAAGATGCCTTACCGAAGTCAATTTGGTTCTAACTGGTTTTCAATTCGACAAGTGGGCTAACTCAGATCGGGCTTTTCCGCTGCCGCTGCCGTTCCGCTTCCGCTGGCATTGCGCTCGGACCTTTAGTCATGTTAGTTATACATCACATTTTACACTTTACATTTAAATCCTTACATAATTAGTAATTAGAGATAAATATATATAAATATATATGCTTAATATAACCTTGAAATTTCAGTGTTACATCCACTTGATATTGTGAGCTGAGGAAACATAGAGCTGCATCTTATTATATGTACAATAATTATTATTTTCTTTGCAGAATATCAACTATTTTATCTATATAAATGTATATTCATTATTTCATATTTAATGTTCTGATATATTTCATTTCTCCATTATATATATTTTCATTATATAAATAAATACTGGGTTGGGAGGGAGCATAAGGGTATCATTTGACCTGGAACTGGACGATGGAGTGGTATGACAACCGGAGTCTAGTAGGGAATAAACACTATCATTTTCTTTATCCTACCGATTCGATTCTGGTGGTGTGAATTCTACCTCAACAGTTTCAGTGAGATTCACGCGCCCTTCTTTACAAACTATGTAGGAAGCCCTTCCTACCAAACCATGCAGATACATCCACTCATCTATGTTAATGAATAAAATTTCGCAATTACTTGTTTTCATGAATTTAAATTAATTGCTAGAGGCAAAACATCTGGTCACGTATTTCAACTGAGCTCCGTTCACTTATCAATGTCAAACGGTTGCAGCTATCATTCGAAACACTGTTTTCGATGTGTCGATTTGAATGGACTGAGGATCCATTCGAATAGAGGATGATGTTTTGGTACAGTGTACAGCAGATTAGATTAAAGTTTACCTATAGCTTCTCATTGAAAATGTACCTAGGTTAATATGTATTCGGCAAGTTGCGATGGTTTCTTCAGCCAGGTATTATCGTTTCAGTTGAAAACCGGAAAATCCCACAAGTGCAAATTGAATTTACTCTCGTTCTGTACGTTAAACATAACGTCGGACATAGTGCGCTGTATTCGCACAATGATGCGCTATTCAGCGCACTATGTCCGACGTTATGTTTGACGTACAGAACGAGTCGAATGTCGCGTGTGGGTTTTTCGCTGTCCAACTTGAACGACAATATTATCTACAAATCTACAAATCTACAAATCTGCCGGAAAATGAGGAAATTGACGAAAATTTTATTCAGTCTCGGAGTAGTACCAATAGACTGAGTGAATCCAATCTTTACTTTTCTCAAATTCGGGAATTTTTCCCTGGAAAAACCTGGGAAAACATGAGGCAAATTAACTCATCGCTGAGTTCCTGCACTTTTGGCGATTATGAGTGAACTAAACTCAAATTTGAGTCGTTCTCATTCGCCGTGTAGTATCGCGTGAAATCTGTTATGACACTGCTATAAAATCAGTTTTTGGATTCGGATTACTTATACAACTTTTGGTTGGTAAACATTTATATTCCACACATGAAATTTTCTTCGACGAACATTATCGCTTATTGTATGGTTATAAAAGGTAATGTCTATTTAACACATTGCTACAAATTTCTATGTAAAATAGAAAAATAAAATTATAGAACGGATATTCGTGGTTCAATTCGTTACTTTTGTAACATAACATGGAACGTAAGTACAGACACTAAGAATGGTCAAGTTTGGAGACGACATTAGGTTACTACATTGCACAATTATCCCCCTCGTAACGACTCCTAGTCCCTCGGCTGTGGGTAGTACTGCGTCAGCAATGGGATCACCTTATCGGCCAAAGCCTGCGAACTGGCACACAACACCCTTCGGGACATCAGATCCAACGGGCCACCGGCCGGATCCAGGCAAACTCCTCCCGCCTCACGCACGATCAAATCTCCGGCAGCAATGTCCCAAGCGTGAATTCCATACTCGTAGTTGAAGTCGGCTCCTCCCAGTGCGACCATGGCCATGTTCAACGCGGCAGCTCCCAAGCTTCGCATTCTAAATGTTGAATGAAAGAAAATCCTATTAGAATATCGCTTCAATTTATGAAGGTTTCCATCGCTGCTACCCATGAACAACTCTGACAAGCTTGCCAATGTTTTCCAACACTACGGCCGTTTTCTCCTCATCTCGACTGGTTCCAAATTCGGTCGTTGCCAACGCATGATCCAAACGAGTTTCTCCCGAAACTTGAATCGGTTTGTCATTCATGAACGCACCCTTTCCTCGTCGAGCGGTGAACAACTGATTCAACATCGGATTGTAAATGATCGCAATTTCAGCTTGCTAAAGCGAGAATCTTATTAGAACAGCTCAATTAGCATAATGGCTTCTGTCATTAGCACGATCCCACCTTATTGACTAATAACGCAATCGATACACACGAATGGGGAAAACTATGAACGAAATTCATGGTTCCATCCACGGGATCAATGATCCAGGTAGGATCGTCGGTCAGCTCTGCCTTCTTCCCCGCACTGGTTTCTTCTTCCCCAATGAACCTATGAATGATCGCATTTTTAACATTTCAAATTCCCACACAACTTCACCCATTTTCCTCACTTATGACTAGGATATATCCCAGTAATTCCATCCATCAGAAGTCGTTCGACCTGCTGGTCCGTTTCCGTTAGCAAATCGATGCTGCTGGATTTTTCCACCACCGTCTTCTCGCCATAGTTTCTCGAAGCAATAATCTAAATCATCCAATATGAATTAATTAAATTAAGTCACTCGCAATTCCCCCGACGGCGTTTCAAATTCTCTATCATCAATCGATCGAATTTGGTGATTTTTGGAATTTTCACACGCGCTCTTACCACGCCAGCTTGTTGGACGAATCCCAGAACGTGCTGATAGCATTCGTCCAAATCCAAAGACATTTTGGAAGACTTGATTCGGATAAGATTTGTTCGGATATTGGTAAGTGATGGAGCAGAACCAATTGATAAATATGTTATTGATAAATTACACCAAGTTTTGGAAACGTCTGCTCGCGACAGCTGATTGCAGTGTTTTGAAAGTGACACTGGGTGTACGGGCGCCTTTAAATATGCACGCATGCGTTTGTCAGTGGTTAGTGAATGTTATCGTTTTCTACACGGGCATGAAACGGTAAGCGGTGCCTTATCGGCAAAAATGCGGTTTCCCTATTTCGCCATTGAATCGGAAGTTTCTAGGGAAAGATAAAATTTATCATTTTGTGATAAAATTTAATCATTTTGAATCAATTTAACACAAAGTAACTAATGGGTTAACACGGCAAAATCGTCAAATACACGATATAGTTTTTTTTAGATGCTTCCTGACTTTCGGGAGATAAGATTTGTAGTGACATAATACCTGACCTGGTCTATCCCAGTGCATTTTAATTTATTTTTAAGTATGACGCTAAAACGCTGGCCAGACTGACCAGTTATTTAATTTTAATTTAATTTTATTTTCCGTCAATCAGTGTAGACCATTTTGCAATAGTTGCCTTAAGTGCTATTTTTTACAATTTTGTCTATTGATATATAAATTATCATAGGGGAAATAGATGTAATGTCGGCCTAAATGCCCCTAATTTGGGCCCATACATAAATTCAGTGATCGACTAATAGCGACCAAAAATAGCCATTACTACCGTCCCAATGACGCGTTCATCTAGATAAAATTGATAAATAACAGATTTTTAGCGATGGGCCCAATGTTAGATCGATAGGCCAATATTAGAGCCATTTCCCCTATGCCTTGAAAACAATTTAAAAAGAAAAGCTCTTTTGAAGCTTATTTGAAAGATACCTTGAGTTAGTAGTAAGTTTTCTGGCAAATGTAAGGGGTTCGTGAGCATTCCTGACATTGCTGAAAATTATGATAGCATCAGATTGCGGGGTTGCTAGTGTAATAGGATGCTTTGTTGATTGTTCATTAACTCTTGATTGCTTGTAATACTTATGAATATTTTAGGTGGACAAAAAGGCGAACTAAGAGGTGGACGCCTGAGCTTTTCCACATTTATATCGCTGTGAAGCAACTGTAAACTCTAGGGGGAATTTATATCTGTAACTGAAACCAGTTCGATTTTGTTTGCCAACCTGATTAAAATGTCATATTAAATTATCTTAAAGATAAATCGTCCAGCTCAAACCTTTGTAGGGGTAAGAGGTGGGACCATCATCATCATCATCAAGCTGCGTTTAGACTAGGCAAGTCAAATGATCAACTCAGTTAAATTCAACTGACTTGATCGCGAATTAAACGTGTAAACCATGCGTGATCAACTCACTTGAATTGAAAAAAGTTGAACCAGGCTCAACTTTCCAAGCCAATTGAATTCGACTAAGTTGATCATTTGACTTGCCTAGTCTAAACTCAGCTTTACGGTTACGAAAGGAATCAAAATATTGCTTTATTTTGTTTTTTTGTCATTGTAAAGTCAATGCTGTCACAGTGCTTATGTATGTGTCCATCATTTGGTTCAAGGGTCCAAATTTGGCATAATTCGTACGATGAAGATTTGTAGCAAATATATTTCTATTTTGTAGATGCCTAGATGGTGTATATAAATTTAAGTTATATTGTGTTGGAGTGTTCAACTGTGAGGTTTTACAATAAACAGTTTCGGCTTGGCAGTCTGGCAATCACTCAATCAGAACAAATTAATTTTGTAATTTGTCCCTACGTTTCGGCTCTGATTAGGGCCTTCTTCAGGGGAAAAATTGTTGGATTTGTTCTTTGTCTAAATACTGTTTGAAGTCTAACGTCTGTTTTTCTGGTGGTTAGTTTTTATACATAGCGATTTTTAGTTGAATATTCAAAGCCACCATAACCCTCGAAGAGTGCACAACCGCAAAAAAAAAATTATACCCGACACAAATTTTATAAAAAAAAAAATAAAAAAAAACTTTGAATATTCAACTTTTTTTTTTTTTTATTATTATAATAGTATAAATATAAGGGGTCCTAAATAGGAGCCTTCACGAAATCCCGAAGTGACATCAACGGGATTTGATGTCTTTCCTCAGGGTGCCTTCCATTCATTTTGGCTAAAAAAATGTTTTATGGAATTATGGAATAATAAGATATTATGATATTTTTTTGTGTGAGCACAACGAAAAGATTTGTACCTGCCAATTTTGCTACATGAGAGTGGCAAAAAACGATTTTGTCATTTATCTCACCCACTCTTCGCTCTTTACTTTTCGCTCTTTACTCTTCGCTCTTCACTCTTCGCTCTTCACTTTTCGCGAAGAGGCGATCATAAAATCGCTCATTGTGACTTTATCGAAGTTAAATTTTCAGGTTTTATGTATCAAACACAAACTTTACAATCTTTGCTTGTTACTCACAGATACAAAATATCATCATAATATCTTATTATTCCATAATTTCATAAAACATATTTTTTAGCCAAAATGAATGGAATGCACTTTCCTTTGTTTTTTTTTTACTAATTGATTGCGATTTGTTAAATATGGTTCAAGCCATTTGAGGAGTGCGGAATGAACTCCCAATTTTTGAAGTTTAATGGGAAGCATGGGCATGTCGATTCGATCAAACGCTTTGCTAAAATCTGTATTGAAAACTTAAAACATGGCTTTCGTTACTAAATGCATTCAAGGAATAATTAATGAATTCGATCCAATTCGCAGTTGTTGAACGGTCTTTAAAAAAAAAGTTGAGGGTTGTGTCCAAAGCACGACTGCATTCATGACGTAGAACTACGAAATTATTTTGCTGTTCCATTTAAATGACAAAATAAATAGTTTAGAAATTTAATTGAAAAGCCGAAACCCTTGATATTTTTCGCGGATGTGCCTTGGAACTTTCATTAGAATTCACTTGAAATTATCTTTCTAATTCCCTCAGAATTCAATACCACCAGAATTTTTTTGAAATACTCATATGAACTCTCTTTACATTCTTCTAGAAATTTATTTAGAATATTCATTAGAAATTTACCTGTAATCCTCTATACAACCGTCATATAATTTCACACAGAACCACCTACTAATTCAACTTTGAGCTTAAACAATTAACTTGGCGTTATAGTCAAAAGTCTATAAAAATTCTTCCAAAAACTCCATTGGAATTTGTATCTTACGTATCTTATTATCTCTAGAATTCATTCTAAAATTTCCTCTAAAGTCCTTTAGAATTTTCATTAAAATTATCAAATAAGTTCTTCAAAGTAATTGTATCTGAAAAATCTAGTAGTTGAGAAGATTATTATTTTCCAAAGAGAAGACAAAGTATATGTTTTCCCGCTTCATCTTCGAAATTCACGGACTTCTCTCGGTGATTAAGAACCTCCGGCTTTTTCCCGATTTTACGGTTCACTGGCCACCCTGTGTCCAGTATACCTACAATAGGGCTTATCCATCTGAATAACATTACTAGAGATAGCAATCTCCTATCTAGTCGAAACACTGAAAACGATACTAACTCAGAGAGTGAGTAACTTTTGCTAATTACTGCTTAAGCAAGCCTTTTGAATCAAATGTTACTAGAGCTGCATGGTGAGTGAATTTTGAACTAAGAGGCCAATCATGCGATAGGTATTGTCCATCCGAATAACTTCACTGAATACAGAAACCCTCTTTCTGGCCGTGCTGTCAAGTTAAAACATGGAATTTGATGCATATTGCACACTGAGCTTGACTATCCAATAGCCAATTTCTAGCTGAGATGGCAAGCTAAGGGCTACAAAATGGTGAGTGACAATCTGGAAGGAGCGATATACCTAGCTCCGGTTCTCACAAGTTCCTACCTCACGCCTTCACGAGTCATATGATCACAAAAGACTGCCAGCTGGTTGGCGTAGCCTGGGCAATGTTGTCAATCCGACAATAGCAGAGTGAGGAGGTGCGACGCGAACACTGTCGCGGTAACCATAGCACGGTGATAGAGGAAATGCTTCGCCAACCCGAGCGTCTGTTCACCATGGAGGTGCGGCTCAAACAGCGTCTGACTGGCATCCAGCGGCTGAATAAGAAATGCTCTTCCCCGGAAGCTACACCTAAGATGGCAGCCCCATCACGGCGGATAAGAGACCTTAGGCCAACCACCTACTGTCTCTGAAACCTTTACAATTGTTACAGAAACCAACAGAGAAAGACATCGAACTGATATAACGGCAACGACTTTTAGCGCAAAACAACGGACACGAATTGGATCATGGAATGTATTGACGTTAGCCCAGCAGGGTAAACTGGCACAACTCGCCAACGAGGCGCGACGCATGAAGCTAGAAATCCTGGGACTGAGTGAAGTTCGTTGGCCAAACTTTGGAGAACACAAACTGCCGTCGGGACAGGTACTAATATACTCTGGTATTCGAGGTGAAAACGCTCCCCGCCATCGTGGAGTTGGTCTCCTACTTAGCGTCCAGGCAAGTGCTGCGCTCATCAAGTGGGAGCCTGTTAATGAGAGGATAATCGTTGCCAGATTTAGAACACGGGCTCGTAACCTTACCATAGTTGACAAATGTTGCATCAACTATTCTGTAATATCTGGGACACCGCGACTTTTCCGGACGACTGGATGCAGGGCATCTTTGTGAAGGTCCCAAAGAAGGGGGATCTGACTGTGCGCAACAATTGGCAAGGCATCATGTAACTGTGTATTGTTCTCAAAGTTCTGTGCAAAGTTATCCTGAACCGGATACAGGAGAAGATCGACGCGACTCTCCGACGGCAGCAGGCAGGATTCCGTGCCGGAAGATCTTGTGTGGACAATATTGTCACGCTCCGCATTATCCTGGAGCAGGTCAATGAATTCCAAGAGTCCCTTTATTTGGTATTCATTGACTACGAAAAAGCTTTCGACCGTCTCAATCACGAGAATCTGTGGGGCGCCCTGAGACGCAAGGGAGTCCCGGATAAAATCGTCAACCTCATCGAAGCGCAGTATGAGGCTTTCACGTGCAGAGTTCTACATAACTACTTCGATTTGGCTGATGATATTGCTCTACTAGCACAACG